AGGTGTTCGGGAAGCTGAGGCAAGAGAATCACTTAAGCCCAAGAAATGAGGTTGCTGTGAGCTGTGATGCTACAGCACTCTACTGAGAGTGACATAATGAAACTATCTCAAAAAAAAAATGTCTGGGCATTGTGGCGGGCGCCTGTAGTCCCAGCTTCTTGGGAGGCTGAGGCAAGAGAATCAGTTAAGCCCAAGAGTTTGAGGTTGCTGTGAGCTGGGAAGCCAGGGCACTCTATGGAGGGTGATATAGTGAAACTCTGTCTCAATAAATAAATAAATAAATAAATAAACCTTCCCATGGCTACCCACCATACTCAGAATAAAATTCATATCCTTATCTTGGCCTTCAAAATCCTATTCCTCTCTCCTATCTCACTTCTACCATTCTATGCTCACTTTACATGTTCACGTCACACTGGCCCTCTTTTTTGGTCCAGAGATATGTAAGCTGCCTACCACCTCACCTTTTCTAATCTCCCCCTTCCCTGCCTTGGGGATTCTGCACCTCCTGTTGCCTCTGCCTAGAATGTGCTCCCTCTCAACTGGCACGTAGCTACTTTCTTTTTTGTTATTCAGATTTTGATTCAAATGTCTTCTATTCAAAGAGGCTACCCAATCTAAAGTAGGCATCCTAGTCACTGTCACATCACACTGTTCTAATTCTCTGAATTACACTTAATATCTATCTAATATTTTCCTGTATATTTATCACTTCTATTTATTGTCTCTCTGCCCACCTAGAATACATCAAAGACCTTGATATATTCCCTGATATCAAAGACCTTGCCTGTTTTGTTCACCTCCATATCACCGGTGCCTAAAACAATGCACAAAGCATTGAAGAGCTCAGTAAATAGCTGCTAAGTTAATGAATGGAAATAACAGTCTGAGGAAGAGAAAGTAGGGTATGCCCTGGGGAACTCTATTTGTGGTATGACTCTATGGGGTGGGGCTGAAACCAGAATGAAACACTTTTTTAGTGGTTCAACATGTAGAAATAAATTTGGGGAGGAGGTATTCTCAGCCTAGAAATCTATTATTATTATTATTATTATTATTTTTAGAGACAGAGTCTCACATTATCGCCCTCAGTAGAGTGATGTGGCATTATAACTCACAGCAACTTCCAACTCTTGGGCTTAGGCGATTCTCTTGCCTCAACCTCCAGAATAGCTGTGACTACAGGGCACCTGCCACATGCTGGGCTATTTTTTTTTTTTGGTTGCAGTTTGGCAGGGGCTGGTTTTGAACCCGCCACCCTTGTTATATGGGGCCAGCACCCTACCCACTGAGCCACAGGTGCTGCCCTCAGCCTATAAATCTAAATCTGAGAGGTATAAAATATGGAATCCACGTTGGTCACCATGGCTCACACCTATAATCCTACCACTCTGGGAGGCTGAGACAGGAGACCTGCTTGAGCTCAGGAGTTTGAGACCAGACTGGGCAAGAGTAAGCACCCATCTCTACTAAAAATAGAAAAAAAAAGGTTAGCAGGGCATTGTGGAGGGTGCCTGTAGTCCCAGCTACTTAAGAGGCTGAGGTAAGAGGATCACTTGAGCCCCGGTGTTTGAGGTTGCTGTGAACTAGGCTGATGCCACGGCACTCTAGCCTGGGGTAATAGAGTGAGATTCTGTCTCAAAGATAAATAAATAAAGAGAAAAGAAAATATGGGGTTCAATCTGGGGTGCTCAGTTCTGGAAAGGTAAGTATGTGGGACTCTGATCAGAGTTGGAGGTTCTTTTGGGAGGTTCATTCTGGGTAGTGGCTGGTGGACATGGATTGAAGCTCTAAATCTGGGGGATGGAAAATAATTGAGCTTTATAAGACAGGGCTCTCTCTGGGGTGCTCAGCCAGGGAGATTCAAAGAAGAATGCTTGGCCTGAGGGGTGTCAGTTTGGGCTTAAAACCTGATGGCATTGTCCTTGGGGGTTTCATTTTGTACTTGGTATAAACTCATTAAGGAATGAGTCTAGGAATCAGCCTTGGTATCTTGGCCTAAGACATGGGTGGCTTCCTTTAGGGAATCATTCTGGGCATGCTCCTCAAATTCTGGGATTCTAGTTGAGAAGTTCAGACAGGAGGGCTTCTACATGTTCTGTCTAAGGATCTCAACCTGGAGGTTCATCCTAGGGTCTTGCTTCAGAGCTTCAATGTAGGCCTTTCAGTTTGGAGATGTCACTCTGAGAGAGATCTCAATCATGTGGGCATAGAAGGCTGACTCTATGAATGTCTTGGGTCCTGCCTCAGAAGTCTGGCCTAGGGCTATCAGTGTGGGGGAGCAGGACAAGGGCTGGGTGCACACACTCACTTTGGGCATCCTTGCTGTCTGGGGAGCCATGGGGAAGCTTTAGCAGATAGTCTTTGAGAAGTAGCTCATAGCGAGGAATGCGCTGCACAGGCTCCAGCATATGGTGCTGCAATGTCAGGTTGCCACAGGCTTCCTCCTTCTGTGACAAGAGGAGCAGAGAAGCTGAGGTCTGGCTGCAGATTTTCCCCAAGTCCCTGAAGACCTCTCTTCCCCCAGGCTGTTGCATCCAGTTTTGCCACTTACCTGTACTTCATGGATGATGACTTTAAACTGAGTGGAGCGCTCTGTCCAGGTGTTGACAAGCTCCACAGCCCGGTCAAAGTTCTTCACATACTCTCCATACATCTTGAGGAAGGGCGCCAGCTTTTGTAGGATGTCCCCAATGCGTGGGTAGCGGTCCCTGGGGGTGGAAGCAGGAACTGATGTGGTCCTGCTGATCCTTGTCCCCTAGGATCCCCCCTACAGGTCTTTTGCTCTCATCTTAGTCGTGGAAACCCACTTCTCAGCTAGTTGCACCTTAAGAAATACTGCTTATATTAAAGGCCAATTAGATCAAGAGGCTCAGCTTGACCTGAAACCATGGTCTTCAATGCTGCCTGTCCCAACTCTGTCCTGCGTGAGCACCAGAAATGATGCATCTTGGAATACTTCTCCTGGAACTTCCTGCAAGGGCCACTTCATACACTGATTATTGACTGTGCTTAGCCTTGTCCTGGGTGATGCTAGAGACATAGAAATGAGTCACACAGGCTCGGCACCTGTGGCTCAAGCGGCTGAGGCGCCAGCCACATACGCCTAAGCTGGCAGGTTCTAATACAGCCTGGGCCCACCAAACAACGACGGCTGCAACCAAAAAATAACTGGGCGTTGTGGCGGGCGCCTGTAATCCCAGCTATCTGGGAGGTGGAGGCAGGAGAATCACTGAAGCCCAGGAGTTGGAGGTTGCTATGAGCTGTGATGCCATAGCACTCTACCCAGGGCGACAGCTTGAGGCTCTGTCTCAAAAAAAAAAAAAAAGAAAAGAAAAGAAATGAGTCACACAAATCCAGTTGGGCCCTGAGATTTGTATGGTCAGAAGAGGCAAAGTGATCAGCCCTGGTCACATTCCTCATTGATCATAGTATATTATGGGAGATAAACCAGACCTGATCTCCCACTCTGGGGTCATAGGCTGGTGGGGAACATGGAGATAATTTTAAGCAGGATTAACATGATCTGATTATTATTTAGAAATAATATTTTGATAGGTGGTATAGACCCTAAAGGGTAGATTGGAAGACGAGAGCCTGGAGGCCATGAGGCTGCCTGTAAACCCTACCCTTCTACCTCAGGACTAGCTTAGGCACCACTTCCTCCCTGAATCATTCTCTAATCCCTAAGCTAGGTTTGGTCCCCTTATCTGGGTTCCCATAGCCTCCCATTTCCAGCTATATCACAGCACTAATAAAAATAACAACAGCTTACATTCCCTGAATACTCATTTAATCCTTAAAACAAGGTAGAATGTTATTATTATCCCCATTTTATAGATGAGGAAAGTGAGGCACAGCAACTTAAGAAACCTGTTCAAGCTAGCAAGTAGCAAAGCAAGAATTTGAACCCAGCCAATTGAGGTCCTAACCTTATACCCCTGAGGGGTATACTATTCTGTTGTAATTTTCTGAGTCCTGGTCTGTGTTCTACATTAGACTGGGAGGGCCTAGAAGGCAGAGCTTGAACCTGATTCTTTCTGTAAAAGTCAATAAGGGGAGAAGTCAGGTAGGAATGAACTCTTGTCTATCCATTTGGATCTAGGATTAGTAGGCACATGGACAGGGGAGAAGGCAGCTTAGGTCTGGGAGCCCTTACCATTCCTCCATGCGCTTCTCTAGCTCAGGCAGCAGGAACTGCTGGTGGAAGCAATAGATGGAACAGATGTTAGAGAAGATGCCATGGACAACATCAGCAGGGAAGGAACTGCGGTTCCGAGCTTCTTCCAGCAGCCGAGCACAGAACACCTGTAGGACAAGGCAGGAGTGCTCAGCCCAGCTGGGCCTAGGACTTGGCTGGGGAAGGGGCAGCTTGTGGTGAGGGAGGGCAGTATTTGTGGGCAGCTTTGTGGAACTTTGGGATCAGCGTTGATTTTGAGACCAAGGAGAGAGGAAATGAATTTAGAATTATATATTGGGTCACAATTTAGGTTGTCAAAGTTAAGACCTGAAGCTAGGCATTGGAACAATGAGAAGTCAAGATCAGGGTCAAGGTTGGAATTAGATTCAGGGTCAGAAAGAAAGTTGGAATTAGTGCCTATCGTGTGCCAGACATTATCTTAGAGGCTAGGGTAGAGCAATGAATAAAGCCATCAAAAATCTCTGTTCTGAGGAAGTCTGATGGATTTGAGATCAGGAATAGGGCCAGGGTTAGAATGAGGTTCACATCTAGGGGTAAATTTAGGATCTGGGTCAGAGTCAGCATTAGTTTCAGAGTCACAGTTAGGGTTAGGACTAAGGGTAAGTATGAGGATCAAGATTGGAGTCATAATCAGAGTTGGCTTCAGAGGCAAGTTGACTTCAAGGTCAGAAATGGGATTTACCATCTCTAGATTCTGGCCACAATGGTGGGGTTGAGCTCAGGTCCTATCACTTCTTCCTTAGAACCCACCTACTAGGTCCTGGGGACCCAGGACCCCTGAAAGGCCACTCACCTGATCCAGGAGATGGAGCCTGGAAACATAAGCCTTCTCAGTTTGCAGGAGCTCATTGGCAATGTGAAACACCTTCTGCTGCACAGTCAACTGGAAAGGAGAATAGGGGACCTTTGAGCTACCATCTTCTACCTTAATCCTCACCCAAGCCACGAGAATTCTTAGAATAGTTCACAGCTACTCTATGCTTAATGCCACCCTGAGATAATCCTGACCCCCATCTATGAGGCCCCTGGCTTTGTCCCTGACTTAATTGAAGGTGACTTAATTGTCACCTAGACTGATGTGCAGTGCTGCGATTATAACTCACTGTAGCCTGGAACTCCTTGTCCCAGTCTGTCATAAAGCCCAATCTTCAATTCCAATGATATGTGCTCCCTCACTCAGCCAGCCACTCATTCATCCATTCATCTGCTCTATTCATTCAGCATTGTGTAATGGTTAAGCATGTAGGCTGGGAAGGCAGACTTCCTGGGTTCAAATCCTAGCTCTGCCATTCACTAGCTTGCATAAATTGTTTAACTTCTCTGTATTGAAGACTCCTCATCTATAAATAAAGATAATAATAGAACTTAAGTCCATATTTTTGTTTGTTTGTTTGTTTTCCTTTTATTAAGTCATATACACATAGATCATGAATACATTTATGCATTTGTGGGGTACACTGTGTTGATTTTTTATACAATTTGGAGTGCTTACATCAAACTAATTAATATAGCTTTCACTTCATTTACTGAATTATTATGTTCAGACATTTATGTTCTATACTTGGTAAGATTTCGCTTGTACCCTTGCAATGTACTCCACAGGTGTAGTCCCACCATTTACCCTCCCTCTATCAAACCTCCTCCCTCCCCCTCCCACTAAGTCCTTTTTTTTTTTTTTTTGCAGTTTTTGGCCAGGGCTGGGTTTGAACCCGCCACCTCCAGCATATGAGGTCAGCGCCCTACTTCTCTGAGCCACAGGCGCCGCCCCACTAAGTCCATTTTTAATGGAGACAATTAAATGATTTTTTTTTTAGACATGGTCTCACTCTGTCACCCAGGCTGATGTGCAATGCTGCGATTATAACTGACTGTAGCCTCGAACTCCTGATCTCAAGTGATACTCTCACCTCAGTCCTCCCTGGGACTATAGATGCATGCTACCATGCTCAAACTAATTTTTTTTCTTTTTTTGGTAGAGACAATGTCTCACTATGTTGCTGAGGCTGGTCTTGAACTCCTGGCCTCAAGTGATGCTCCTGCCTTGGCCTTCCAAGGTTCTGGGATAACAGATGTGAGCCACCACGCCCAGTCTAAATGATTTAATATAAACATAACATAGAAGATTAAAGATTAAGTAGTCTACATGTGTTAGTTATTTATTTACCCACTCAGTTCCCTATCAGCAAGGTCTTGCTGAGTACCTAGAATGTGAGAAAAACACAAAAGTATAAAAATATATGAAACTCAGGCTTGGTACCTGTAGCTCAGTGGCTAGGGTGCCATCCACCTACACGGGAGCTGGTGGGTTTGAATCTAGCCCAGGCCTGCCAAACAACAATGACAATTATGACCAAAAAATAGCCAGGCGTTGTGGTGGGTGCCTATAGCCCAGCTACTTGGGAGGCTGAGGCAAGAGAATCACTTAATCCCAAGAGTTGGAGGTTGCTATGAGCTATGATGCCATGGCACTCTACTAAGGGCGACATAGTGAGACTCTCTCAAAAATATATATATATATATAAAACTCGTTGCCTATTGACTCAGTTTCCTAATTGTTAGACCCTATTTGCTGAGTAACTGTCATCCTAGCAGTCCTTGGCCTTAGTCCCCATACTTGAGTTTGGTTCTGGTGGAGCAGATATTCTGGCTGAGACCTAATTGAGGTACAAAGATGCCTTCTAAAGAAATGGTAGTGGGTGGCACCTGTGGCTCAGTGGGTAGGGCGCTGGCCCCATATACAGAGGGTGGCGGGTTCAAATCCGGCCCCGGCCAAACTGCAACAACAAAAAAAATAGCCTGGGCGTTGTGGCGGGTGCCTGTAGTCCCTGCTACTCCGGAGGCTGAGGCAAGAAAATCGCCTGGGCCCAGGAGTTGGAGGTTGCTGTGAGCTATGTGACACCACAGCACTCTACGGAGGGCAATAAAGTGAGACTCTGTTGCTACAAAAAAAAAAAAAAAGAAGAAGAAGAAATGGTAGGCTGTCAGGGCACAGAATGGGGTCCATAATGCCACTAACCTTTATTTACACAGCCTCAGGTCTCCATGGGGCTCTAGCTCTTATGCCCTTGTTCTATCTATTGGGAATTCTATTTGGATGCAAGAGACTTTCCATTTTACAAATAAAGAAACTGAGTAAAGATTATGGTCAAGGAGTAGAGAGAAGAGAAACTTGCCCAATGTTACACAGCTACTGAGTCATGGGATTTTCCAAACAGAACAGGACTTTAAAGAAACCAGGATGCTCATTTTCCAGATGGAAAAAGTGGGGTTCAGCTAGTAGCTCTCTGATGAGGATAGAACATCATTCCTAGTGAGCAACTGGAAATGGGTATGGTCATTTTGGTAATCACAGTGATGGAGGCAGGGCCAGGTGTTTGCTATTGGCATTTAAAGCTAGGAGACCAGAGAAGATAAACATCTAAAATGGAAACAATGTCTTATTTTAAGAAATACTGAGCTAGGTTAAAAACTAAGCATAAAAGCCAGGCTCCCTGTTTCTCCACATAATCTTGCCTCTTGGTGAACATGGGTCAAGTACCTCCACAGATGCCTGTCTCTCCATCGGGGGTACTGGAATTTCTTGGTCCTTCTCCTCCTCGTCGTCGTCCTCCTCTTCCAGGTCACTGTCAACCTCCTGGGAGTTGGGCCGGTGGGGGTTGGCCAAGGAAACCGGCACACTGGCCAGGGCAGGGGGCCCAGGGCAGAGACTGTGGCTGGGAGGCCCGTCATCACTGACGAAGCAGGTCTCCTCACTGTTGGATGGCGAGCTGATACTGTCAATGCCGCTGTCCCGGTTGGGTACCTTCTCACCATCCCTGGGCCCAGGAGCCAGCAGGAACAGGCAACGGGAGGCCTCACCCTCAGGGAGCTGAGGGACTGGTGGCTGTGGGGGTAGCTGTGGCAACATGGCTGGCTCTCGAGTCCCTGGGCTGGGGCCAGGGGCTGGCCTATCCGAGGTAACGATCACAGGCTCTCTAAGGTGGGTAGTGGACACATATTGAGGCAGAGTAGGAGCTTGACTAGCAGGCTTCTCCTATCCCTTCTTGTCCCAGGCTCCCCCTTCCCTCCACAGGGTCATCCAGGGACCAGACTTCAGACTTACCTTTCAAATTTCTCAATCAGTGAGGATACAGCTGCAGAACTCAGGTTGGCCTCCACCCTGGGGGCCAGGCCCTTGGCCACTCGGGGGTCTGCAGGCAGTGGACGTGATGGTGGGGGGGGGATAGGCTCAGATAAGGGGGACACCCGGAGCATTTGTAGGTAGCTGGGCTTTGGGGGAACTGGAGAGACAGATGGGAAAGAGATCAGGGAGACCTCAATCAGCCAGGTTTAGAGGTGGCTGGAAAGGCCACCACCCGCTCTTCGAAAACCCTAGGTATGCACCTTTGCCTGAGGTAGGCACACAGCAGGCCTGAGGTGAGATCCT